AGGCAGTAGACAGTTTCTGTTGCAGCCAAAGGACACAAGAGGAGCCAGCCCCCAAAGGGGCACTCTGGAAATAGATGTGTTTTGTAATTCTGTTTTTCGCCAGATCTTCCCAGTAATGTGTTTTATTAATAAATAGTCCCTAATGAAGGTGCAGAATCATCTGGCTGATGTTGCTCGTGCCTGTTCCTGCCCCCGTGCACTGTCAGCACCATTCCTTGGCCAGTTTGGTGCAGTGGTTAGGAGCGTGGACTCTAATCTGGGAGAACCAAGTTTGATTCCCCACTTCTCCACATGCAGCTGCTGGTGTGACCTTCGGCCAGTTACAAGTTCTTTCAGAGCTGCTCTCTCAGGAGCAGTTCTCAAAAGAGCTCTCTCAGCCCCACCTACCTCACAGGGTGTCTGTTGTGGGGAAGGGGAAGGGAAAGGAGATTGTAAACCTCTCTGAGACTCCTTTGGGTAGTGAAGGGCGGGGTATAAATCCAATCTCCTCCTCCTCCTCCTCCTCCTCCTTTTTGAAAGCTGGCTGGCCGTCCTTGCCATCTGGTTTTAACTTCTTGAGTTGTCCACTAGGATGGAGAGAAGCCTCGGAACGCAGCCTTCTGGTGGGTCAGCGATCAGAAGGACGAGGCGAAGTGGAGCTTTGAGGAGCTGGGAGTCTTGTCCAGGAAAACGGCCAATCTACTGAGCGGCCCGTGTGGCTTGCAGAGAGGAGACAGAATCATCACGGCTTTACCTCGGATTCCAGAGTGGTGGTTGCTGAATGTGGCTTGCATGCGCACAGGTTAGCGAGTGGGAGAAATTGCCCCGCTGCCAAATCTCAAACGCGACCTTGTAGAAGGGCTGGAAATTTTTTCCCCAGAGCCAGTTACTATGCATCTTCAATGTGTTTATGTGCACTTTGATGGGCAAAAGGACATGTGCACTATGAACCCCCTGAGAAGGCTGTGATTTTGAGTGGAGAAAGGGATGCAAGACAGACAGGTTGCTTACCTGTAACTGGTGATCTTCGAGTGGTCATCTGTGCATTCACACCCTTGGGATAGTCTGCGCCTGCGCTGACCCTCTTCAGTATCGTTAGCAAGCCGAAGGGATTTTCGCGCCCACTCCTAGGTCATGTGCCGGGCTCCACTGCGCATGACCAAGAAGGGGCACGCAGATCCCGCCAGTTCCTTCTGACTGCCGCCCAACAGCCTTCAAAGAACAAGATGAAGGGCGGAGAGCAGAGGGGAAGGAGGGCGGGTGGTGTGAATGCACAGATGACCACTCGAAGATCACCAGTTACAGTTAAGCAACCTGTCTATCTTCTTTGTGGTCTCTGTGTATCACACCCTTGGGAGATTAGCAAGCAGTAAAGGCTTACCTGGAGGAGGGACCAAGGCCCTACATCTGTGCTGTCTGCAACACCGCTCGACCCACTGCCGTACGGTCAGAAAAGAACTGGCGGGATCTGCGTGCCCCTCCTTGGTCATGCGCAGTGGAGCCCGGCACATGACCTAGGATTGGGCGCGAAAATCCCTTTGGCTTGCTAACGATACCGAAGAGGGTCAGCGCAGGCGCAGACTATCCCAAGGGTGTGATGCACAGAGACCACGAAGAAGATTAATCACTTTTCTGTTCCATCCCTCTCCCCTTACAGGGATCATTTGCTGGGCCTTGAGCAGAGAAACAGTTTGCAAGGGAAAGGGGTTAAGCGTCTCCTCCCCACTAATACTTTTCTCATTCAAAATCACAGCATTTTGACACTGCTTTTCTTTTTTTAAAAAAAACACGGAGGTCCCATTACATAAGTGTCAGAGTTCAGTCACATGCATTACATAGAAACAGAATTGCCTTGACTTAAACCAGGGGCCCAGTATGATAACTCCCACCATGTAACTAACTACTGGCAACTGACTGCTTAGATTTAGATGCCCACAGAAAACAGGCCCCCCAATAGCACCACCCACTCAGCATGGTGCAAACATAGGTGCAAGCAACACCCTTCCAAGCAGACGAGTGAAGGAACGACACGGTTTCCTCCACTGACTGAGCCGGCTGTGTCAAGAACTCTACGTCGTGCAAGCTAAACCATCACCACAGCTGAGAAAGCAGCCAAACAAACAAGAACGGGCTCTTAACTGTAAAGGTAAAGGTTCCCTTGCTCGAAAGCCAGTCGAATCTGACTCTAGGGTTGCGGTGCTCATCTCCGTTTCAAAGCCGAAGAGCCAGCGCTGTCCGAAGACGTTTCCGTGGTCATGTGGCCGGCATGACTAAACACCAAGGCGCACGGAACACTGTTACCTTCCCACCGAAGTGGTACCTATTTATCTACTACTTGCAACTTCTTGCTTTCGAACTGCTAGGTTGGCAGGCGCTGGAACTAGAGACAGGAGCTCACTCCATCATGCGGCAACTCGGGTCTCGAACTGCTGAACTACCGACCTTTCACAGCCTGTACTGATTTAAAACAAATCATTCCAGATCTCTGCTCACTTTATTCCCTTGCCTCTGTTCTAGGCATTGTTCTCATTCCAGGGACATCCCAACTGACTGCTAAGGACCTTTCCTACAGGCTCCGGGCTTCTAAGGCCAAATGCATAGTGGTCACCGACTCACTGGCTCCTTCAGTGGACTCTGTCACGTCCGAATGCCCCTTTCTGGAAACCAAACTTCTTGTGTCTGAAGGCAGCAGAGAGGGATGGCTGAACTTCAAGGACTTGCTCCTGTAGGTATTGCCATTGCGAGGGCCCCCAAATGAGGGCCCCCAAACGTCTTGTCTGTATGTTTTTTTGGAATTTGGAGAACAGGCAGTGCGCACTACCACAAAATAGCTGCCAATGGGGGAGTGGCCAACCACAAAAAGAGGGGATTCGGGGCCAATCATAAAATGGAAGGTTCCAAGCCTGGGGACACCGTGTTTCTACTCCACCTTTCTTTGTTCAAGCAAACACAAGGAAGTTTATAAAACAGAGAATTAAAGCACATATACACAGAGAGACAGACTAATTAAATCTATACCAATATAACAGGTGACAGATACATGGCAATACATATATGTGCTTGATTTTAAGAGCTGCACCTGCTGAGCACGACTGCGTTAAAACCAAGAGCGGAGAACCCATGCTCATCTACTTCACGAGCGGAAGCACAGGAGCTCCCAAAATGGTTGAGCATTCGCACAGCAGCTACGGCATCGGATTTGCAGCCAGTGGCAGGTAAAGTCCACTAACAGTGACTGCAACAAATGGTATGGATGTGCACAATGGCTTATGGATTGGGGAGGTCAGTGGCGTACCAAGGGGGCAGGTGGTGGTGGTCCACCCTGGGCGCAGCTTGGGGAAGGCTTTTATTTTAAAACCGCAGTTCTGGCTGCAGCCACTAGGGGCATAGCATAGCAAAAAGCTTTAGGATCGAGGAAGGCTGATTCTGCATTGGCTTTTCCTGCTGTTGTTTTACAAAACTCACTTTGGAATAGAAATTCCCCTCTGCATTGCATGCTGCTTTCACTTCCTTTGATAATTGGATTTTATGGTAGCCTCCACACTCTATGCCACTTTCGCTTTCTTTGATCATCAGATTTTATGGTACCTTCTAGATAGATTTATGGCCATTTACTGACTTTGCAGTCAGTATGGCGTTGCCTCAATGTATTTGAATGTGGTTTTGAGCTGCACTTTTCCCTCCTAGTTGAGAAAATGCGGAGCAAATGCCAGATGCAGGTTGCGTTCAGACTGGCAGTTTGGCACAATACAGTGCAGCCTCTAATTGAACCAGTTTAAAGTGTTGCGGGGCATATCAGCCACACAGTACACCATACTGCGGGTTATGCATGTAGACATCCTGTGGTCAAGCATCCACATTATTGCAGCGCCTCAGCCATGGAGCGCACTGCAAAAAAAGTTCAAAATTAATGTGAGTGCATAAACGTGCATGTGCGCATGCACACACATGCGCATATAGGCATTTTTTTAAAAAAAACCCCTCCATAGCGGCAGAATGGATCTGCAGGTTCAGACTGCCAAATCCATTCTGTGCGCGCTCTCCTGTGTTCAGACATCCAGCCATGCACAAGGAATGCGTGGGAAAACAAAAACACCACTTTATTTATTTATTTATTTTTGGATTTATATCCCGCCCTCCCCAAAGGCTTTGGAAGTGGTGACTTTTTAACACAGCTCCAAGTTGTCCTCTGATGGGGTGAGTACTCCCGGGGAATGCCTGACAGATGTGGCTGTGTGACAGGGCCAATTTAATCTGTTTGTGAAATGTGCCTATATTGGACCAAACTGCCAGTCTGAATGCAACCACAGAATCACCTTAAGATTCCCTGGCTTTCTCCAAGACTCAACCAAACTTCCTGAACAGATCGTGCTGATAGCTGCTACAGTAATTGCCAGTCTGCAGGTGATTTTCTGCAATAGCCTAGCCTTTCTCTCTCCCTTTTGGTGTAGTGGTTAAGTGCATGGACCTGCTGGATGACCTTGCACCTGCTGGATGACCTTGGGCAAGCCGTAGTTCTGACAAGAGCTGTTCTTGAAAAAGAGCCGTTTCTGTTAAGAGCTCTCTCAGCCTCACCTCCCTCACAGGTGGTCTGTTGTGGGGAGGGGAAGGGAAAGGAGTTTGTAAGCTGCTCTGAGACTCCCTTTGGTAGTGAAGGGCGGGGTATAAATCCAATCTCTTCTTCTTCCTTGCACCCTTCTCAGCCAGATCTTGCAAAGCACTGGTTCTGCTGGGGGGCAAAAATGCCCCCTTTGAGTTTCTACTGCAGAGTTTCTCTGGTTTGACTTTAGTCTTTTGGAAACAATGGAGGATGGGGGCACCTTCTTTGGGGGGGGGTGCGTTTCTCAACATCCAATCTGATTAAGCTTGTGATCGCTATCTTGTGATGCTTTGGCTAGTGTTAGTAAAACTGAGTACAAAAGCAGACTCCTAGCTCTCAAAAATGCCTTGTAGATGTTTGGGATAGTCATTTCTTGGGCTTCAAAACACAGAACAGAGCAGGCCCTTCCAAGTGCCTGCTCAGAAAATTAGGGTGTTTTTTTTACTGGATCCTCCCAGGTTCTCGGTCCTTCACCAACTTCACGGACTAGGGGGCGGGGGGAAGGAGTGGCTCTATTCATCTGGGAGGCTTACTCCTTCAGAGTGCTCCTGCCTCTGAAGATCACAAATATTGAGTGTGCTGGCTTAGTGTGGGAAGCCAAGGAGAGCTTGGCGATTTGGCTGGTGTACTGTTTGCCTAATGCAGCCGCCAATTAATTAATTAATTAATTAATTATTTTGGGATTTATATCCCGCCCTACCCAAGCGGCTCAGGGCGGCTAACAGGCGGCCATGCCGGATTAAAATATAAAATACAATAAAATATCATTCCATACAGAATAAAATGGTGCTCTACAGTTCTCTGAAACTCCCCAAGATGTGTGGTAACCCATATTGGCGGCCGGCGTTATTAATGGCGTGAGCGCCAGGAGTGATGTTTCCCATCTCCGCCGGACGACATCTACCCCCCTCCCAGTAATAGGGTTGATGATAAGATCGTATCACGATGGTGGAATATTGGCGTCGGCGGCTCCTACTCAAAAGCCTGGCGGAAGAGCTCCGTCTTGCAGGCCCTGCAGAACTGTAGAAGGTCCCGCAGGGCCCGGATCTCCACCTGCCATCCCTGGTGGAGGCTGTGTCGGGCTGGGCATTGGAGTTCCCTAGACTCATTGTCTTGGGTGATTTCAATGTCCATGCCGACGATGCAGCCTCTACCTTGGCGATGGACCTGGTATCGTCCATGGTGGCAGTAGGGCTCTCCCAATTTATAACGGCCCCCACTCACTGGGCTGGACACACGCTCGATTTGGCCTTCACGGCGGGAGTTACAGTGGACTGGATTACTGCCTTGGCAGTGCCATGGTCGGATCACTTTGCCCTGAGGGCCCGTTTGAATGTTTTACTCCGACCCTGTTTAGGCAATGAGCATATTTTAGCTTGCCCACAAAGCCAAATGGACCCAGTGTGGCTTCAAATGGCTCTGCGGGATCTGATGCCCCCTGGCGGCTCATTAGATGAGCTTGTGGAGGATTGGCATAGCCGACTCTTGGCAGCCATCAACAAGATCGCTCCCCAACGTCCTCTGCACTCTTGCACGAGGCTGGCACCCTGGTATACCCAGGACTTGCGGCTGATGAAGAAAGAGCTAAGACGGCTAGAGAGACGGTGGCGCGCCCGGCACAAAGCAACAACTTATAGGATATTTATGAGATCCTATGAGATGGTAGTCAAACCTGCGAAGAAAGAGTACTATGCAGCCTCAATTGCGTCTGCGAGCTCACGCCCAGCCCAATTATTTAGAATGATTCGATCGATGACAACTCTGCCACAAGGTAGGTCAAATGTTAGGGAACTGGATATTTGCTGGTTTTAACCTTTAAAACCCTATATGGTCAAGGTTCAGCATACCTGAGGGACCACCTTTCCCCACACGTTCCTCGGAGAGCACTGTGTTCAGGGGCGCAAAATCAGCAGGCCCTCCCAGGCCCTAGGGATGTCAGGCTGGCAGTAACCAGGGCCAGG